CAAACCAGACGTTCAAAGCACTTCACTTCAAAGATGAGTGCCTCTGGGGGGTAGCCATTCAGGCAGGTTGGTTGTGCTTTCTTGGGCACAGGAATGATGGTGGATTTCTTATAGTACATGGGTAAGGTCCAGTGTGTAGGATTTTTGCCCAAAATCCTACACACTGGACCTTTAAGTTACTAACCAACTTGCCAGGTGCCATACTTAATTTTGAATTATAATGCTCCAACAAAGGCTGAAATGCATAGATCAGAGCAAAGTGCTTGGTCATGTGGCCAAGCACAATGCCCTGCTTAATTTTGTTTCTACACATGTAAAATGCAAAATGGAGGGTAAGGTGAAAGGAGGTGTTAGAGAGACAAAGGGAGAGCCTGACAGTGAGGGAGCGACTGGATTAGAAGAAAAAAGAAATGCAAGGAGAGAAAAGGAGGATTTTGGGAAAGAAGCGAGAGCAGGGTGAAAAAAAGGTTATGATGTGATGACATATGAGAGAGTGAGAAAGAGACATGGCAGGCATCTCGTTCATTTGATGTCAGATGCTGACACGTAGCAGGAAATGGAGGATTATGGAAAGTGTTTGGAAGGGTGGAGGAGCTTTTAGCAGGAGCTCGTATGCAAACACACACACACACACACACACACACACAGAGCCATTTGCTAACTCAGCTGTAATGTAATAATTTCCAATAAAGTATTATTTGACTTTCCTTTTTGTACAAAAAGTTCTTAGGTACTTGTTCCCTCTTCTAATCCTCCTCTTCTGTGCTCACAACTTTTATTCTTCCAGGTATTTGATATTTCAGGGCTAAAGGAGATACCACAGTCAAGTTTTCTTTTGCAGCAGATTGAGTTTGTTCACCAGGCAGGTTGGAAAGGATTCACTTTTTTTCTGGAGGACGAATCACCACAGTAGATGCTTGCCAGTGCCTTGGCCAAGAAACCTGCCTCATCCAGTTTATTTATTTCTTCTAGTTTCACTCCCCTCGACATATTTTCTATTTATCCAATCTCTGTTGACACTTTCTGCTATCCAACTGTGCTCTGTGATTGGGGTTCAACAGAGGTGTGGCCCTGCTTAGCCTTGACATGACAGGGTGAACACAGGTTTCTTAAGTAACAAAAAGGGTGGCTGTAATGCCAGGAGAAGATAAAGGAGCTGTCTTCCTTCCCCCCACAACCATGGGATATGCTTTCTCGGTTTCAGCCATATTTCAACATAACTATAGAGTTTAAATCATAGACTGTAAAAATAATGGAGGTAGCTACTGTGACGTCCCCCATTGGTTTGTGGACCCCCATTTTGAAGCCTTGTGTTCGGCATTTGTGGATCTCTCTTATCTTGACATCTTGATTTTGATTTTTTGGAGCCAGAAGTGACCATATCTGGGCGAGACGCTGTCATAAAGGGGGAAATTAGCTATAGAAACCAAAACAATTTCTTGTACCAGGCTGTGAATAAATATTTCTGCGGTAAAGTTGGGCATTTTAACGTGGGGGTCAATGGGCATTGACTGGCTTCTGGAGTCAGCCTCAAGTGGCCATTCGAAGAACTGCAGTTTTTTGGCACTTCCGTGTTGGCTTCACTTTTCAGCCCTGGAGGTTGCCGTTAGGTTTAAAATGTACTATTTAAGTAACAGCTTGACCTTAATTGCTCTCTTGCTGATAGTTAGATGCTACAGCTAGCAGCCAATTAGCTTAGCGTAGTATAAAGACTGGGAACAAGGGGAAACAGCTAGTCTGGGTTGCCTAAAGCTCACTAATAAACGTCATTAAATGTTTGTTGTTAATTTGTTTTAAAATGACAATATGTCTAGTGAGGATTTTGTGCTAAACTATTTCTTGGTCGAGCGTCCAGGGACATCTTGCTTTGTCACCGTAAGGCTGACCGATATCCAGTGGAGACTCCAGGAAATAACTGTGCCTGGCCAAGAAAAAGTCCAGCACACAGCAAGTAAATTTATTTCCCAAACATCAAACTATTACTTCAAAGTTCCCTGTGAAGTTGTTGTCCACTATTAATGCTATGACGCAGTATGTTTATGTGTGGATCCACATCTTGTTTAAAGTTGTGGACATACACAAGGATACACATGCAAGCCGGTATGCAGGTGACGCAATACGCATTGCAGCCAATGGCTTCATACTGCTCCAGTGAGTAACAGGTGGGGGTAACATATCAAGGCACAACAAAATGCACCAACAGAGGCAGAGAGGAAGACTGCGAGCTAGTAAACATGGATATTAACAATGCAGGTTTCAAACTTTTGAAGAAAAAACAGCTTTGCAACTGTTTTACGAGAAAGACTTGGTAGTGTGACATGACAACAAAACAAAGTTCTGTAGACATACGCTACTTTCCCAGTATCATCACGTTGATGGTTTGCTATATATATGGCAATCTTGCCCAAACCAGACATCAACCTTTTTTCAAATGAGACGAGGTAGACAAATGAGACGATTACTCGTGGTCAAGGATGGTCTCCCCTTGATACTGTTTCTCCTGCCCTGGTGTCCCTGTGACAGCCGTTATCTTGTGGCATGTGACATCTGCCTGAGGGTAGGACATGCTTCAGGGTTTATGTCTCTGGCTCCACCGACTTTGCTACGGCTTGGCGGTCTTATCCAATAATGTCAGCCTGGAGGTGGGGAGTGAGTCGTTCTCCACTCTTATACTGATGGCCACTTCTCTGCTGAAGAAGTGATTGTTCTTTTCTAATGTGTTTTCAAATGGGAAATATGCAAATTATAGTTCAGACTGGACAAGATTAAATAGAGTCATACACAGTCTTAATTAGCAGAACAGTAGTTATTCTCCACCTCTCTCCTAGTCAGGCTGCTTGATGGCTTGGCGACTGACGGCTCAGGGAATGTGTATCGTGGTAATGACTTATGAGTTCAACTGTCAAACTTTAAAACTCCCACTCCAAAGACGTTTTAATACTTATTGATTTATTATTATTTGTTTGACCTGATTTCCGCACATAGAAAGTTGGCACAGTGTTGCTGCTAGGTCTAGACTGGTGACTAGTGAAAGTGCAGTGCACATCAAGATGGCTAGCGCTGGCGTTAGTGGAAACGTTGGGGAGATTCAGTCATACATGTTTGTGCTTCAGTCAGACCCAGACTCAGATGAGGAGTCTGGGTCTGACTGAGGCTCAAAATCAACAACTAGGTACAAAGATAACATCAAAGCAAACCTCAAGAAGTGCCACATAGGCCTTAAGACCTGGGAGGCCACAGCAACAAACAGGGCGGCCTGGAGACAACTTGTCCGAGATGGAGCTGCACAGTATAATGACGATCTCCATAGTGCTGCAGAAGACAGACGCAGAAAGGAGATTGCTTCCACCAAAAAGGTTCCACCCAAACCCACAATCGCCACTGCCCACCCATGCCCACACTGCCCCAAAATATGCGGGTCCACGATCGGCCTCTTCGCCCACCTCAAGACCCATTAGGACCAAGAAGGAGGACAGACATACTCGACCCCGAGTGTCCGCCGATGATGAGTTGGTTGTGAAACGCAATCATATTTGCCACGACATTAAAGTGTGCTCTTATTGATCGGGTTTACATTGAAAAACTGCAGTCTACCATGTTTGCTGTCAAACCTTTTACTGTGACAATCCTGCGCTGGAGGTTTCAGGTTTCTTTTCCGGTGTTGTGCCGAAGTCTGTTCCCTTATTGATATGTGTTTCCCGTATTAGACAGCGTTGGGCCTCCGAATTTGTGACGCATCTAATCTTGCTTCACCTGCAATGTTTGAATCTCTGAGTTTAAAGAAGTGTAGAGGAATTTGAAAACACCTCTCTAGTGAAACTTTGCACAGATACAAGTCGGTAATGGCAAGGTCATTTATCTAATGGGCTGGTGGGAGGGGGACTTTAAAGGCAGCAAATTATAATTTCTTCTAATATGTCACTTTCTCATATTCTTACTTTTGTATTTTGCAAATCCAGCAACCCTTTCTGTAATTACTATGTTACTTTCAGGTGACTGATTCTTCTTCTCTGTCAAACTCTGCATGTACATCTCAGTAGTTATGTGCCATTGTTTCGTTTAAAATCTTCTCTCTTTGTTCATTTTGGATCCCCTGATCTGCTGCTTTGTTGCAATATTGTACATTTTCACCAGAAGCCTCTAGTTTTGTTTGTTCAAATTGTCCTCATTCTAAATGTCAGGCGGTACATCTGTTCCTTTCTTGGACCAAATAATGCAGCGACCATCTGTGGGAGCTTTTCCTGATGTTTGTTTTTAGATTCATGCGCTTGTTCCACCTGCATAGAATTCATCCTTTAGATTTATAACTGTATATGCAAAAACATAAATTGTACCGAGGCCCTTAAAGTTACATTATACATTCGGTTCCAGACCTAATATTGTATATGCACACAAAATAGTTTTGTGCTCACAAGGGATCGAAACAGACACTGCAAAAAAAAAACCCTTAAAAGGGAAAGCTTTTCAGATCTTTTACATTTACCCTCAGGCCTCTACCACAGTTTTTAATGTTTTTAGTTGCGTATGCAAAAGAAAGTGCAGTCCATTAGTGCTTTAGTATGGGGTTTAAGTAGGGCTAAAGATAAAATGACAAGGATAGCAGGGTCAGTAATGGTGAGCATAATTTTGTATCTCATATTAAATATGGTCCTTATATAGCTCCAAAATACATTGCAGAGTCCTGCAATATGTTGCACTTTCTTGCAAGCTTAAATATTTGTAGCATAAGCAATGGCATGCTCAGACTAAGGCCGTTTTTCTCATATCCTTTACTGTAGAAGCTCAAACTGGGTTGCTGATACCAATGATTATGCAAAATAGGGGTGAGTTCTTTGCGCTTTTGATTGGACATGCCCGGGCACATAAACCCCGACCAAGCTCTTGTCGGCCAGACTCGATTGTTGATTGGTTTTGCCTGCAGTAGCACTTTAAGACCCCTGCCAATTTATTTGCATTAAGTAGCCCTAACCTCTATTTTTCCCTGCTCATTTTCTTTGCAGTTGTGCATTCCATTGCCCTTGCTCTACCCTGCGGAAAATGAGTGGCAGCGGACCGCCCACAGCAAATAACCACTGTAACATTAATCTGACGTAAAGGGATGTCATTGAGTCTCCGCAGCCATGAAAGCACAAGAGGAGTTACCCACTGGAAACCACTGACATGCTCAGCTCTGGCACAGCAACTTTCAGATCACGCTGTGCTTGTGTGTGTATGTGTGTGCATGTGCGGATGTTTAACCACATCAACAGTTATTTGGAGGTTGGGGTATGCTCTGCACTCTCTCTAGCATTATGGATTTATTTACACTGATTATAATGTTTAGCAGCGTTTGGCATTAAATCTTGCAGAGCTGGAGATATATTCAGCTCGGCAATCCTCATACACACACTGATATTGCATTTTGAAGTCACTAAGTACAGTAGTTGGAACGTTAAGAACCTTTATTATTTTTCGCATTTTTCATCCCTTTTTAGAAACAACTGTGGCAAACACCTAAAGTCAAGGTCATTTTCACATCACTGCGTCATGTTTTATTTTTCCTGTGACGCCTATCCGTGAGGGTGATCAGACACAAGCATCCATAGGTGCAATAAGCACATAGCAAAGCTCCTCTATTACCCTCTGCAAACAATTAATGACACCTTATCCTGCTGCCAAACACACACGTACACACAGATTAAAGATAATGAGAGGCTTATTCAAAGCATGCCAGGAAGGAGCTATACATTTAGCCTACTAAAGCCTTCTGTTATTTATAATACAACATATTAAACTGCCTAATAAATGAACCCTGTTTCATCAGTCCACTAACAAGTAAAGGTGTCAGTTAAAGGTTAAGCTGGTTGTTGTATGTTAATGCAGAGTGTATGTTTGTGGAACTGCCCTCATAAAGGTATAATAACAGCACTGTGGAAGTTTTAAGCAAACATTATCCCTTGACATGAATAAAAACTGAGCTGTCGCTGAGGTTGGATTTCAGGGGAAGGCAGCAGGTGTGGGTAAGTGATGGGGAGGTAGGGGGTCTCATGTAGATTTCTTAGGCCTTGCTAATGCTGCAGCTCAAACACATGGATCCATGGATACTATTTAGCCTGCATGTGTTGGAAGCACACTAAAGAACACAACGTATCCAGGATATACTTTGCTGTACCATTATTAGGTTGGGGTTGGAGGGGGTGTATCTGGAGGGATTACAGTCATACATTTACACAACATGACTGATTTCTTTTGTCACAAGCATGAGACCATTGTCCCCTGTGGTGATCCAGTTAGTGTACAGAAGAGAAGCTGGCATCAGTGGGTGGGAAGGGCATCACAAAACAGATTTGTTATGCTTGGAATATCTTAAGTATGTGCACAGGTCACATTATGTAACTATTCAAGTTGGATATAAATATGTATATGAAGCCAAATTTATTGTGCTTGCATACAGATGAAGCGCTCGCAGTAAACATGTCACTATTACTGCGGTGGCATCTCCCTACAATGCGCGCACATTTGAACGCAAGCAGTTCTTAGCTCAGTGGCATAAAGAAGTTACGATGGGCCCTAGTGCACACTATCGTGCATGTATTGTCTCGACACGAATAGAGACTTGACATTAGACAGCATCAACCTACAATATTACCACATAAATATCAAAGAAAGTAAGAAATTAATCATTTAATTGAATAACATATAGCTTATATAGAAAAAACATCAAATTCTGTTTAACTTGTAACTGACTAAAAAATGAAAAGGAACAACAAAACCATGACGCAGGTGGGTTTGTGTTTTTGAGGACGTATATAGCAAATGGCACAGTTTTTAAATTAATATTCTTTTTTTTTTTTCTTTTTTTTAATCATTTATCTTTGAACACAGGTTTATTTCCAAGGTGGCAATCTGAATCCCTTGCAAGGGCCTGCTCTCTCTATGGGCCCCTGCACTTTAGGGGCTCCAGTGCAATCGCACTGCTTTCACTGTCTATAGCCCCTTTTACACTGCCAGATTTTCCATGAATGTTGGGCCGTTTTGTCGGCCAGCTGCGAGCGTTTAGACACACAGAGCCGGATTGGCAAGTTGATCCGAGGTGCCCAATTTTCCGCCTCGTAGGGTAGTAATATTGGCGGAACCCTTTTAGTTTAAACAGACGAGGTGGCCTTCCGCAACGGGAGAGGCTGTTAAAGACTTGTGGGAGGAGCTGTTGATGACGCCACATGTGCGACCCACTGGCGGTGGATAAACAGGAAACAGCTGATAGCAGGAATTAGCGAGCAGCTAGTAGCAAGAGGGAAACACAAACCTGACAGACACTGTAAAGATGAGCAACTGGGGAGACAAGGAATTGCGCAGCCTCCTTGCCCTCGCAAACAGAGGCCATTAACCGTCAGATGGCGGGGACGGTGAAGAACGGACTGATTTACGAGAGAATCACCGAAAGACTGACCGGCCGCGGCTTCCCTTCCACGTCACACGCTGAGCTACACATTTTCTTACTTGCTTAGCCCCCCGTTGCCCTGAAAAAGGCGCATTCTGTACAAACAGACAGACTGATTGGGCTTTCCTGCAAATTTGCACAATTCCTATCTAAACGGGGCTTATATTTACACTCCTGTCTCGGCTGCTCCAACAGTAGTAGCAGGCTTCAAAAAACTGATTCTTAAACAAGTAACATCGCTAAGTTAAGACTGCATAGCGAAGGTAGTCCCAACAAATAAACTAACTGTGACATTATTGTAAAATATAAAATTATTTGCTCTAACCAGGGCAATGACCACAACATTAACATCATTCAGTGGGAATCATGAACAGAATATGTACAATGTTGTCCGGTGTTTCCGTTGAACAAGTGAGTATTAACCAACTGCAGCCATATGTGCTGTGGTTGCTCGTTGTGACGGCAGCAGTTGAAAACACAAACTGAACATGTAGGTATCCTTGTGAAAGCCTTTCTGTTTTACTTTAACCAATTTCAAATATGCCAACCATTTACTTAAGTTACAACGAGCATACGAGGATGCATTCGGATGAAAATCAACAGTTAACAGGGTCACTCGTTAAACTGTCCCACAACGGCCCCTCTATGTTTAGTTGCCAAAGTTTACAAAGTAGGGTAGAGCACGCACATCCAAGATATTACAGGTGCAGGACTATCAAGCAAACAGACTTTTTTAAAAAGGGGTGAAGATCAGCGTTTCGATCACAAAGATCTTCGTCGTCTTCCTGACGAAGATCTATGTGATCAAAACGCTGATTTTATACAATAAACATTTGAGGAGCTACAACAGTGTGCAGACTTCACCCCTTTTTTAAAAAGTCTAGTTGCCAAAGTTTGCCATCTATCAGCTGGATCTTGTCACTGCAGTAAAGAAAGCACCCCAAGATGACAGAGCACACAAAGCTGTTGCCAGATTTGTGTATAGAAAATGTTGGCTGGTTTTCAACACTTTAAGCCTGCTGATACATTTTACTTTTTATTGGTGAGTTGGACTTTTTAAATGCCCAAATATCTAAAAAGCCAGAGCCTGTAAGAAGGTTCTGTCTTAGCTTAATTTTTCATTTTCTCCCCCGTCCTTTGCTTTTATGGACATTGCTTTTGTGGAGTTGTTCAGTACATTTCCATTTGTGATATGAAGCTACTTTCGGGAGATGAAATATTCCTTGGCAGTCATTAAAATGACTGAAACCCTTATATTTTCATTTACAAAAGAGCTCAAGCTAAACAGACAAATGCACTGAGCGGACGTTATGAAAAAGTCTGCGGAGAGGATGACTGAGTGTTTTAAATCAAACACACTGTACTTAGTTTAAATGGTGGATGAATTAAAGCTGTTGGCTTCAGGCGATGTCTGTGGGGATGGCTGCCTTCTGAAGCTTTTATGGCTTGTCTGTGTTTAAAGTTAGAATACATTGGTGAAGTGATGACAGTCTCATGATCTTTGACAGTCCAATAAATACTGCTGTTGTCTCGAATTGTAGACTGGATTTGGGATTTTATATCCTGATAATGTTCTATTACAGTGCTGTTTAAATATCTGGCAATATCCAGTCTCAATAAATCAACCCAAGCTATCAGTGTTTCCCCAAAAGCCATTAAGTTTGGAATGGTATCAGATGTTTAAGCACTTCTTTTAGCTGTTACAGACTAATGTTTGTTATTATGACTTTCTAATATTCTGGGGATAATGTGTGCAGTATCAAATTTGGATTGTGACCCATACTTGGAGCTCAGCCTCTGTCCTGAGTACAGGTCTGAGACACATTACATTGTCCCTTATGGCACACCTCTAAACTCTCACACACAACACTCTAGTCATTTTGAAATATAATGTGGAGCTCAGTCAAAACCACGGCAGCTGCAGTGTAAATGACCAACACATGCCTCAGGCTCTAGGCTTTGTCTTTCAACACTCATTTCCCATTATGTCTCTCATTGGCTGTCATTATGTTCTGTAAGAAGTAAATGTGGGTCAAGAGCTGCTGTCAGAGGATGAAATTCTTCCAAGCGTGCTATTTGAAGACTTTTAAATCACCACAAAATGTTACTCTGACAAGTAAAAAGCAATGGATGATTATGGTTATGAAGGTCAGTGAGACAATAGGTCTCGGTCTGTGACTGACAGAACTACTAGCCATCGGGTGTGTGTGTGTGTGTGTGTGTGTGTGTGTGTGTGTGTGTGTGTGTGTGTGTTGTGTGCTGGCGTACGGAAAACCTCCTTAGTCATTTCTTTGTGACTCAGGCCTCTGCCGTCCGACAGCTTAATATTAAAAAGCCTTCATCCTGCAGCAACACTTTCTGAGTTATGGCCTCTGGCACGGTGTGTGTGTGTGAGTGTGTGATTGTGTCTGTTAAAACCTGCTTCGTCATGATGTTTTCGGCTTAGCGTGGATCATAATGAACAACAAATTTGAATAGCTGTCATCCACAAACCAACTCTTCCCCGCACAGTGTGTGTGTGTGTGTGTGTGGGTGAGTATGAATGTATCTTTTCTTTTATATGCTTGTGTTTAGTATTAGCGGGCGTGCATGTGTGCGTGTGCACCTGTTTCTTTGTGCTCTTGTTTGTGTTTCAGTGCGTGTTAGTTTCCTTTTATGTGTGAGGATTCATATATTTGTGTGTGTGTGTGTGAGTGTGTGTGTGTGTGTGTGTTACGCATGTGACAAAGAGCGAGAGAAACTTCTGTGGACCTTGAACAATGGCTGTCAGCCCACTGATGACAGAAAGGCTGAGGAGGCTTTCCTCTGTAAGGTTTCCATTCAGTTTGATATGCAAATAAGCTGCTAGTACTCCACAACACTCGTTACAACCCTGTTCCTCATAACTTCAGTATCATCGGTCTTATACATCCATGCACTAACAAGCATCAGACACTTACACACGCACACAGAAACACAAACTGGAGCATACACACAAAAAAAACACACAGACTAGGAGCGCACAGTAGATCAATATAATATTGATATTGTGACATAAAAGTCAGTTGAGTCGAGGATTTTGTTATTGTAACACAAGATATAGCTCACTAAGTCTTTAGAGATATCCTAAGTTTTGTCCTCTCCAAGTCCTTGGAGGTATAATCATTAAGACTTCAGTCATGGTTGATTTGGTTTTGTAACAGTCCTGTTCCAAGTGACACTCTAACTGAATACTGAGGTAGCAAACATGCCCAAAGTGGCAACTAGGTGACATGTAGGCATATGATAAATGTTCCAAAGCGTGATTTGCAAGTATGACAATGGCATTACTCAAGAAAATGCCAAATTGTATTAGTGCATGAACGTAGCAGAAGATCAAGTGCATATCTGTATCTGTGGGCTTGAAGGATTCGTCCTGTCACGTTGGTTTAATAAAGACAGTCAGTGTTGTCTGAAATGGTTACACTGAACTCATGATCAAATGATGGCTTCTGAATTACACGATGTCTGCACAGCCCACATTGTG